TAATAATAATAATAATAAAATTGATAATAGAACCAATAAAATTTGACTTTCTGAAAATTTTCAGTGAGACAGACTGAGCAATACTTAATAATTAAAAGATGTGCAACATTACTTATTATCATATAGTTATTTTAGCATATTAATATCTTGAGTAGCATAATATTGATTTATAACAAACGTTTAATAAATTAGTAACAAAAAATCAGCAAATAGAACTAAAAGATGTTCTGATGTTAAAGTATATACTTGAACTTTTTATTTTGACAAGTTCATCATTGAACACTCATGTTATTTAGTTTTCTGTTGATATTTATAGTAAAAACTAGGATTAAACAGCAGCAGCAGGCTCTTTTACATGCAGGCCTACATGTGCCATCAAACAAAAGTTTATAGTCAGCTGTTCTCTTWCAGATTTCACATTCTAAATCGCAGATGAAAGTCGTGTAAATGTAGTTTTTCCTGCGGGACAAACTTCTTGTGACTTGAATGTGAAGAACCTCAGGCTCCCTCTGCCAACTGGGTCAATTATTCCCGCAGGGCGACAAGAAGGACTCAGTGTGAACTGGATCATCTTGTTTATTCCCGGGTGCTTTTATTTTGTGATCACAGAATTCTTCAACTTGACGTTTGTCCCTGAATGTGAAGCTCGGGACAACCCGGGTTAATTTAATCCCGCATAAAACTATTAATRCAAACCGAACCAAATAAATAGTTTAGATCCTCCTGCGGATAACTGATAAAAACAACAACAACCTTACCTCATTCACTTCATCCCTGCTGCTATTTGAGGATAATATTAGAAAGATGGACGCACTTTGTGGTTGAATTAATACCCGGACTCCTCTTCCTCCTCCTCCTCCTCCTCCTCCCGCAAACGCACGCTCTCGAGTTTGCGCATGCACAGTGTGACCGTGGGATTATCATCTAATCCCAACTGTGCATCAGTGAGGGGAGAGTCACAGATTCGGGGATGTTTATGTAAAAAACAAAAGAAAGAAGAAAAAAATAAACGATTCAGTGGGAATATTTTCTGCCACTTCAAAGACACAGCTTTGAATAATGTCTGTTAGCAAAATATCTCATGAACTAATGGACGGATTTTAATGCAACATCCAGAAAATGATCATTGGATGTAAATTTAAAACTGATTAAATTTTAGAACCAGTCCAGTTCAAGATGTCCTTCACAACACTGACCTTAGARGATACAWAARATGCTATAATATTGTCAGTTTAACRTACATTTTGTTCAAATTTGGTTTGATATGAGAATAATTCACAACACATTTAATGAGTGTGAGATTTGAGACTGTAATAAACAATATTTTCAAGGTTTGACCTAATGGCAGCAAGTGATATCATTTCAATGAGTCCTTTATTGTTGTATAATTTAATATTTTCTTTTGTTATTATTATTAAGTTGCAGTACAATTCTATATAAAGAGATGAAAGTATGAAAAACATACAGAGAAAATGTAAACATGAAACTCTAGGAAACCTGAGGACACTGCAAATGCTTGAAGTCGGTTTTAATTTGGAAATCTTTCAAAAAGGAAAAAAGCCAGCGGGCTCCAATCTGCCAGATAAAGATGTCTTATTTTCTGTATCTAAAACCCAACATAACTGTGACAAGTGGCTCCGCAGGGGTTTCTTCTTCAATGAGCTCATGTGTTTCTGAGGTTTAAAGAAAGACGAAAGGCTCCAAATCTACTAAAACCAAACTGGGATTCTGAGAAATAAAGATGGTTGCACATCCTAAGGCCAGAATCAATAAGTCAGAAAAAGAAAACTGATAAAATATTCGCCACAAGTCCTGCAAATCAATATAAAAATAGGATGTTTGAAAGTTTAAACTTCACACTTTACATTCTTTGCTGAATGGAAATACATCAGATGCATGAACAACTTCGTGTTTGCAGTTTACAATAAATAAATAAATAAATAAATTTCTGTTTAGGCTTATCCAAAATGTCCTTGCATTTATGTCTTAGCTGGCCTGGGAACTCCTTGTGTCCTCCTAGAAGAGATGGAAGCTGGAGGTGGGTATGGAAAGAAAAGGGGTGGATAGATATTAAATGAAAGAGGCACAGACGAGAGGAAAGGAATGTCCTGAATGGGCATGCTGTTGTTCTGCAAGGCTCAGTGTCACAAGCTTGTTACAGAGTAACTGGAGCACAATAACCAGTGAAACTGCTCAGCACTGCTGGACGAGGAGCTGCTTTAGTTTGAGATATCACATACTGCTAGAGAGCTTCAGGTATGAAAGACATGCTTTAATGGCACTATTTAATAATTCACCGACAGTTAATTAAAGAGTCCATAATAAACACCAATCCTGAGCGGATGTGGTTTGAATAGCTTTATTTTGAAAATCCCAAGCAGGAGTTTAACTTCCTCCCCGGCAGCGGGGAAAAAAGTTGTTGACGTGGATTAATAAAAAAAAAATGTAATAGTGATTTATTATTATTCTTTTTGTGTAGGCTTCTTTCTTTTACGTTTAAATAAAGTAAAGAACAATTATTTAATTAAATAAATGAATAATATACCTGGAAGATACAGGAAGTAACAGACAAAACAGAAACACACTTCCTGTTTCCACTAAATTTACATGTTGGAGGGAGACAAACTGCGGGTTTAAAAACAAAATGGTCCACAACAAAGAAACTGAAACCGAGCCTCGGTTTTACGGTTTTACCCGGAAAGTCTCTGCTGGGCTGATTCATCTCATTTCTTTGATCTTTTCTGTGTTTATTGCCTTTCTGTCTCGACCCGGAACAAGTGAGTCCTCTTGATGCACTCATTTTAAACAGCTTTCTTTCTTTTTTATTTTAAAAATCATTTATCCGATATTCTAATTTTTACTTTTTCCAGGTTGGTTTTCATGGCATCCTTTCCTAATGACTCTGGCTGTAAGTCAAATTCTTTGTTTAAAATTTTGCCATCAACCTAGTTCATCTGTTAGCAAAATATCTCATGAGCCACTGGGTAGATTTGAATGAAACCTAGAAAGTAATGTTTAGATGGACATCTACAACTAAATAAAATTTGGAGTCAACCCAGTTTAAAATAGCCACCACAACTAATCCTCATTAGCCAACATATAAACATCCACAATTCCACCGGTTATGGTTAAATTGATCTAAAATGAGGTGTTTGGATCTGAGAGTCATTCACAACATAATCTATGGCTGCAACGCCATCACTTTTCAGCACAAGGTGATTTTAGTTTGAATGTCTTGCTGCTAGGTGTTTAGTGTTTAATATCAAGCCTTTTAGGAAAGATCTTACAAGAGTTTCAAGTAGCATTCCTCAAATTCAAGAGCTCGGGTGCTAACARACCTGCCTGCAGTTCAGATCTGTCACCATCTGAAAACATTTCACAAATCAAAGTTTTGAACAGTTGTGATTTAATATCAAGAGAACATCATATATTACTTTGTCTCATTTGTCTTCATTTTTCCTGTAGTTTGGCTTCTTCATGACAGAAGCCATCTTCGTCTTCTCTCCTCATGTATCCCTCTTCAAAAGATTCCCACACAAAACGAAAGGCCGTATTCACTGGGTCCTGCAGAGCCTCTGCTGCCTCTGTGCAGCTCTGGGCCTGGCTGCCATCTTTTACAACAAACACCTGCACGGCAAGGCCCACTTCACCTCGTGGCACGGTCTGCTGGGCCTGCTGACAGTCTGTGTGGTCGGCGGGCAGTCTTTGGCAGCTCTGCCGCTCGTTTACCCTTCTCTCGCCAAAGGCTGGTCCCTCGCCAGACTCAAGCGTTACCACGCAGCATCTGGACTCGTCACCTACCTGCTCGGCAGTGCCAGCCTGCTGCTCGGGCTTTGCTCGGAGTGGTTCAGGGCGTCCGTCAGGGAATACGCCTGGTACCTGTCTGCACTATGCCCTGCTCTCAGTGCTGTCATCATAATGAACCAAGTTTCCAGTGCCTATATTGCTAAAAAGCGACTGCAGYATTAACAGGAAACACACTGTGGACAGCTAAAGAAAACCATTTCGTTGTAGCTACACAAGTGTTTTTAAACATTTAACCTCGRTTTGTAAATGATCTGCTTTTTTAAACGATTTTAACATGTTTGAAGTTACTTGGAGACCAGACCAAGCAGGAAACAAAAAAAGCACAGTATACAGTATGTGACTCATATGTGACCCATCAGATCGAAACGAGGATTAAGTCCAAAAGTGGAATGTGGAAAAATAGGCAAATATAGCGTTTTGATTTAAATGTGTGCAAAAATTGCATTTTGACAAAATATAATGAATTAATGCCTTATCAATGTATTATTTAAATGAACTGTCTGAAATGTCTTAAAAAATTTTGAAGTATTTTTTTAGCAGCAGCAACAAAACAACAGATTTTGAGGAAAAACATCTTAAAATTTAGACATTTTCCCTGTGAGCTAGCAATGTTGTTTCTTTTCAGATGGGAAATCTTAATATACAAATATTATTTGAGGTTTCCTCTTTATATTRACATCAAAAATTACTCAATAAATTTACATGAAATTAGGATTCAGACCAAACAGTTTTAGTAGTATTATCATAACCAACAAGACAAATTAAGTCATATCTTTGGATAAGTTTATATCAGAATGATCCAGGTATCAAAATGTTATTTATTTATTTAGTTAATTAGAAATTTATTCATTTCATTTGTAACATAAAATAACAAAGAACAAAAAACATGCAAATAAAATAAAATCAAATAAAATGAAAGGCAGCAGAAGAAAAATAAATCTTATATCTGCCCCTTTTTATACCCAAAATATGTTGAAAAGAAAAGTAAATTAGAACAAAAATCAAAACTGAAAACACACAAAAAAACTAAAAACAAAATTTAAAACACCAACTCAACTAATAATTTGCATGAATTCACTTATACTTCTCCATTTATCTCCAGAATACTACTTTTTATCATTCTCTTCAATATATACAAATATCTGGCATTTTTAATCTCATCTTCCAGAAAATGTAGCTTTTAAAGCCAGGAATCTGTATATGTAGTTAGGTCATTTTGTCCAAATTTGACTTAATCCTCATTTTGATATGATGGGTCACATATACATTTTTTCATATCAGTGAGTGATGTGTGTTTACGTTGTGAATATAAACAAAGTTTGTGACCAGCTGCCATGTGTTTGTTTGCCTACAGTAAAAGATGAAGTGACTGAACAGGGTCAAGCAGTAATGTTACCTGAAATATTTACTTTCACAGACGACACCCTGTACTGTATTTCAGTCGTGTGATAGAAGCTTCCATGTGGTTATCGCAGATTCACCTGAGTGCTTTGTTTAAACTAAGTGTAGACCTGCACTTCAAAATGCCATTCAGTATGTCTGAGGGGTGTTCCAGAAAACAGGTTTAGTGAAAACTCAAAAGTTGAAAGAATTTCTGAGTTTTCTGTAAGTGAAAATGGACAACCGGTATATGAATTAAACCTGCTTGTTAGCAAAAAGAAGAGTTTTTATTGGTCTCCTCTAACCTGACGCAGAGGAGTTGTCCATTTTTAACCAGTCAAACTGATATCAAAGCAGAAAAACTTCTTGAAATCAGATATCAGAATCACTTTTGATAAAATGAACTAATTTATCTCAGTAACATTTTCCTCTCAGGGTAACTTAACTCTTGGGTTTCTGGATAAACTCAAGTTTGTATAACTTCTTTTCTGGAATACTCCACCAATATATTGTCATATTTTACGATGAGTAATTTTAAAGTGCCTGTGGCATCAAATTTTTGTAATAAATAGTAATGCATTTTTGAAAGATAACATTGATAGTATAAAAAATTCACGCAGTTGAGATGAACAATTAAGATATTCACATGTGAAGTAACAGGAAGTGATGTCAAAGGGGAATGTCTGCATGTGAACAGTTACTCCTCTAACACAGACTAGAGGAAAATCTGATGTTTCTTTAGATTATTTTGAGCCACTGTCAGAGAAGAAGAATGAAGAGGGAGTTTTCTTAGAGTTTCCCTTTGATGTCTCGTCCTGGTTCACTTTGGCTGAACAGTTTAAAAGAAAAGTTAAGTGACAAAATGGATAAAATTGTGTATTTTACCAAGTTTTTTAAATACACTGCTCAAAAAAAATAAAGGGAACGCTTAAACAATGCACGCTAAGTCCAAGTAAATCAAACTTTTGTGAAGCACATTCAACACTGTACAGAACAAAGTACTCAATGCGAATATTTCATTAAGATCGGGAGTTAGCGTGCGTTAAGTGTTCCCTTTATTTTTTTGAGCAGTGTATGTTTTGACTGTATTTAAAGGATATTCATGTCACAGGCACTTGAAATTACACAGTCTCAAACACATTCTGAAGTAAACTAATTTTTTATATAAAACAATTCACACTGCAGTAGAAGTGTTTTATTGTTCAAATAACATTAATATCACATAGTTATGTTTTTTTTTACTTTGATTTAGGCTGCAGGTATGAAACTCTCACTGAATCAGCCATTCATGGATCAAAGTAAATGAACAGTAAAAAAAATAATAAAAGGTTATAAAAGCCTATTTTTATTATAAATAAGTACATTTCAGACAATTAAATGAAAACTACGGACAACTGAAGGAAAGGGGTAAAAAAAAAAAAAAAACATTTTTATGTGATTACTCCAGATGAAAGAAAAAGGTACTTACTACACATAATGAATGAATACATACATGATGAAAAAAGTACAAATAAAAACATGGGATATCTATTATGTATTTTGTACAGTTCCTCTGCTGAAATGATTAATTTACAAAGTACTAGAGCCACCTTGAAATCTAAAGCAAACTAAATCACAGGTTTTGATGAAGAAAACCACAAAAGAGAAAGAATAAGCAAATTCAAAGCAAACAGTCAGGAAACAAACTCATAAATGAAACATAAATTCCTAGGGAATGGTCTGTTGTCTCAGCTTATCCAGTGTTTTCTAAAGGCTAATAACCACTGTAGCGAGCCTAATTTACAACAGAGGAAGGTGGCTTCCCTAAATCTAAACACCTTGAAGCGTCGTGACAACACAGAAACGGACGGCTACAGAGAAGAGCACCTAAACTCCCAAATGCAATGCGTACCTACACCGACACTACAGACAGAAGCTACTCACACGCACTGCGTCTAAGGGAAGAGCGATCACCAAAAAATGGCACTCTTTTTTTTTTTGTAAGGCCCCCCGCATCAACTTCAGCAGGTTGTGCCACAGTCACCGGCAGTTTTATGGATATATCAAACTTATCTGGTTAAGATGGTTTGTGGCTACATTAACTAGAGGTTTCACCTTCCCTGGCTGTGCAGATGGAATTATTCCTGTAGTTTTGGTAACATTTGTCCTGAAAATAAAGTCTTTAAATTCTTATGTCATATGGGGTTTAGGGGAAATAGAAAAGATGAAGCAACTTCTGTAAGAAACCAAAAGAGACAAGATAAGATCTTGAACTAGTAACATAAAACCTTGGTTCAAGCTCCTTTGGGCTTTCAACCTCGCTGCTTGTTTTCACCATTCTGTATCTGCATTAAGCATATTTTGAGTTTGTTGATGACTTTCTGTCAGTTTGATAAAAAGCCGATTGGTGCAACATATAAATCCTAAAACTCAAGACCATTTGCGTTACTTAAGGCTAAAACTTAAAGCACACAGTACAAATCCATGTCCCAGTCCCTGTGTTGACGAAGGCTAACATGAAAGTACATTCCTTTTAGTTTGAAGGGAAACAAAAGTAAAAGATTAAACTGAACATAACTTTGTCTGGGTGAGTTTATCATCAAGATAGTTACTGTAATATTAAACAATCTCGCTACAACCAAAATCTACACACTGCACAGTTTTGACTTGGAATATAAACAATGATAAAGACTTATGTACAAAGTATGAACATCTTGAGTTATAGCGTCACACATCTTTTCAACAGGGGATGCTACAATGTCTATCAAACTGCTAAAGACTAAAATATGCTCTGAATACCTAAAATTTCTGGTTTTAAAGGTAAGCCTCGAAGGATTTTCTCTGTATATTGTAAATCTGACCAACACTAAGACTCCAATATCTACTGTGAAGTTTCCAGGCTTTTCACAGGATCAGTGTTCAACAGGAGAGCTCAGCAAAGGAAATCCATTTGCGCCCAACAGTTTCATGGCAATACACCATGAAAAAAATCCAACATTAAACAGTTCTAATAACATTTTTCACATGAAGCTCATCGCGGCGACACCTGCAGTAAAAACGTAGCAGCAGAAGCTGTGGGCGGCCCCTGAAAGTTGCAGCTGGTCCTCGTATGACAATCCGTTCCCGTTGATCTGCTGCTCCAGCCGAACAAGTCTGAGATTTTCAGCATAAGGATTTGTGTTTCTCTAGACAGTGTAGCCATTAGGTTGATTCCCTCGTCTGCAGGGGAGAGTCTGTGTGTACGAAGTGCATTAGGAGGGGGAACTCAACTCTATTTTAGGGATGGATCAGAAACTTTTGATTTTTATTGTATCTTTGTGTTCATAATTAACATTTACTCCCTGAAAAGAATGTAATTCATACATTTAAACCTGTTTAGATCTGTATTCAAGATTAGTTTTTCTATCAACAAATGACTTTTCTTTCTAATTAAGCATTTATTGTAAAGATTTTAGTTATAGTTTGTATAATTATTACCATATGTTCTTTAAGTAAAACGTGCTGGACTGTGTGGCTGTTCGAAACGTTACTGTCCTGTCACCTCAATAACATCGTCATCAGAACTGTCCCCTCCGTTTACAGAACTCGGATATCTGTCTGGTTGGGCCAAAGCGGCCCCCAGCAGGCTGGAAGTGGGGTTGTTGAAATGGGAGAGAAAGCCAGGTGTGGCAGAGTTGGAGTTGGGCGTTGAGAACCCCCCCGTCCCCGGGAGCAGAGTGTTGGGGAACATTCTTGGTGCGGAAAGCAGCGGCTGACCGTAGCCGACAGAGAAATTTGGAGAGAGAAGACCTGCCATGTTTTGGTTCATTAAGTACGGAGGCAAAGGGGCAGAGGGGAGGGAGGAAGAGGTTCCTGCTGAGGGTGAAGACGACATAGGAACAGTGGTGGATGCAGAGGAGAAAGCAGAGGATGAGGACGGGGTAGGAAGGTGCCCGTTCCCTATAGCAGGTTGTCTCAGTAAGTCTGCACCGGCTGAGGGGAACATGGACTGTAGGTCAGCCATGGTTTGTCCAGGAGGCTGAAGGAACGATGATCCACCACCAGCCATTAGAAGAGGTTGACTCATGTGGCTGAGATTCCCCAGCAGGGACGAAGAGTTCAGACTCACAGGCGGGAAACTGAGCCCACTCGAACCCAAAGGCAGACTTGGAAAATGAGCTGCGGCTGAAGTGTGTTTGCCTCCTGTCTGCGCGTTGCTGCCCTGGTTGTCGTTGTGCTTGCGTTTCTTGCCTCGCACCTCTAACGCTGAACTCAGGAGCTCATCACTGACTTCCCTCCGGAGATCACTGGTCTGTGAACTGCCTTCGTCTCCCGCAGGCACAGACGACACGTCGGACGGTAATGATGGTTCGTTCCCTGCACCGGAAGAGGCATCGCCTGCGGATGAAGTGTAGTTGCTGAGCTCTCTGAGAATCTCAGAGCTGGAAGGAGAAGAAGGCTGCTGGTCACTGTTAGGAGAGCGCTGCTGCTGATCTACAGGCGATGAACAACCATTACTGACTCGCTGGATTGAGGAGCTCTGTGAGCCTGAAAGATAACAGAAAATATGCTGTTATTCCTTCTGATATTAGGGTTTATCACAAAAACACCATTATTAGTTCAAATGTAACCTTCGTTCTCCAGCTGTTTTAATAAGGTGGCAATTGCAGGCATCAGCAAAAATAAACAATAGTTATTCGTTTGAACATTAAATATCTTGTCTACAGTATGTTGTCTATTCAACTGAATATAGGTTGAAAAGGAATAAGGGTTGTAGAAAATTGTGTGGCAGAACACAATGTGAACAATAAATTTGCACCTCTAGAAGAAGCAGACGTCCCAATCACAGATCTGCTATTCTTTCCAGATCGAATAGCAAAAATCCTTCCATCGTTCGTCCTGATGTAAGTACCTGTGTGAGAGAAAACCCAATGTGAATTAGGTGATTTAGGGTGTATCACACCGGACACATTTGGTCCACTTTAAACGGACCAGAGTTCATTTCCCCCGTTGGTCCGGACCTTTTATGCAGGTGTGAATACACTCATGCAAACTCTGGTGTGTGTGGCTTTGTTTATAAATTATAGTCCACTTGCAAAAAGCACAATATGAATGCAAACTGCACCAAAGGAAAAAAAAATAAAGTCTGCTATTTGGTCCGGACCAAACATGTGGACCAAAGGATTTTCCTAGTGTGAATACACACTTATTTATACTTGCAGAGAATTCCTTGTCATGTTGTTGCAAATACCTTTAGATCCTCTGATAATGTGGATGCTCTCTCCTATAGGAATGTGAGCTTGAATTTCTGATGAACCGTTGGGTCCAGGGATTACAATGTCTGTAAATTCAGATAAAAAGATAATTAGTCTAGATGTCTGAAGTAAAAAAAAAAAGAAGTTATTTTAGCATTTAGAAAAAAAACTTTTAATACCAGTAGTGGTGACAATCCTTTGCACATAAACTCCAGCTTTCTGCAGGAAGTTGAGAGGGAGGTTGCCTGCAGAGCTGAAGCCCGACATGCCCATGCCCACTTGGCGAGGCATCATTGGGATTGGTGTCGACTGGATGGGCCTGACACTTGCTACTGGTTTGTCATCTGGTCGTGTCAGGGGACGCCTGGAAATATAGCAACTGAGCTTGTAAGACCGTATTTCAGCAGCAGTATTTAGTACGTTAGAAACTCATTGGTGAAAACGGTAAGTGCAACTTAAATTACCGGTAGTTCCTTTTCATTTACTCTATAGCAGAAAATACAGTGCTGATTTTTTTAAGCGAATACTGTATTGGATTCAAAATAAGTAAATAAATAAATAAATCATTAACTCAAATAAATGAGAAGGAAAATGTGCAGCTGAAACCTACCAGCCACGTTGATTAAAGGCTGCTATGCTCGCAAGCGTATGATCACTTGTTGGGTAATAGGGGACATACGACGGGCGAGAGTAGGGGACAGAGGCTCGTTTCTCATCCTCATAGCTTTTCTTTGCAGCTCTCTTCTCTGCTTTGGTCAGTTTCGACTCCTTGCGATCCACCAGCAGTGACTCGTGGTGGAAAGGTGGCTTCAGAGACACATGGAAAAACAAAAAAAAGTAGAACTTTAGACCAACAAATCTGTGTTTCATAATGACATCAAGTTATTTGACAAGTAGTTTGGGACTCACAACTAGCTGATCAATTCTAAAAAGAAATAAGTGGGCTGTGCAGAGGAGGTAGAACTATTAATTTGTATGTTTTTGTAATCTTGTTAATGTGGGACATAAGATGAGATCTGTCTAAAAAATGTAAAGAATAGTTGCTTCAGGTTTAACCAAAGTTATTGATCAGAATGTCAGTTTTAAAGCAAACAAATAGTTTCAATTTTATCCTTGTTTTACTTAAAATTTTTACTGTTTATCTATTTTAATTACAGCTTATAAACAGAAGCATATCTGCTGTAAAATTCAAAGTAAAAGCCTTTCAGGAATGAAAAGATGTTTGTGTTTCTAACCAAAGACCCCAGCTGGACCAACTCTACACATCTGTCTCTTCAGCTCTCTTCATTAAAAAAACGTTGAAACAAGAACTCGAGGTAATGATTTATTCTTTATATTTACCCATAAAAAACTAAACTTCCTGTCAGGTTCTGAAAAACGCATGTAAACACTGCTTTCAGCACAATCTTCCATGCTCTGTACCTTTGTGATGAGGTTTGGGTAAAGCTGACAAGCTTGACGAATCACTGATTCTAAGTCCTGAGATTCCATCAAAAGTTTTTCAGCTTCAGGCTCCTCTTCTACAAAATGCAGCAGTGACTCCACTTCTTTACGGGTGAAGTTCAGCACTGGGTTCAAGTCGTCAACGACACGATCTTCACACAGAAAGGGTACAGGTAATATAAATGTTTGTAGTGTGCTGAATAAGTGCAACACTTTTAAAAACCGCCACCTGGTCACACTRAGCACAGACTCTTACCAGACATGCCCTGTTTGGACACCTGTCTATCGTAGATCTTCTTCTCCAGTGTGAAGTCGCAGACGAGGCGGTAAATGTAGCAGGGTTTCCTCTGACCGTAACGGTACACACGACATACTGCCTGGGCGTCATGACAGGGGTTCCACGATGCATCAAACACAATGACCCGACTGGCCCCGATCAAATTTACCCCCAAACAGCCCGCTCTGAAAAAAACAAAACAAAACAACAATAAACTTTCTGCATAAAAAAAAAAACAAATTGAGAAAAGTAATAAAAATGAGCAGAATGTATGGAGACAAACCTGGTAGAAAGTAAGAAAACCCATGTTGTTGTGTTCTCCGGATCATTAAACTGGTTAATAAGTCGTTCTCGCTCTGAGGCAGATGTACTCCCGTCCAGTCCTGCAGACAGAAACATAAACAGACACCATCTCTTAACCCTGAAACAACTGACCCTTGAGCACGAATTTAGAACAGTTTTAAGTCAATAACCTTTCTGATCTCTCCAAACATGTAAACTCCCTGGAGTATAAATTTCACTTAATGACGAAAATTATATAAACCAAAACTCCTTGTTAACATGAGTTTTTCTAGATTACAGAGAATTAGGAGCCATTTGAGGCAACAAAAGCAATAAAACACAATAACTCTATTTCTTCAGTTATAGCTGCACATTTACAGCTTGTTACAGAGAAATAACAGAACAGAGGACTCACTGTAGTAATTGAGGTTGCGAACCCAGTTTGGATTCTGGCCATCAGTGGTTGCGATGCCTCCAGGCATGGGTCTCTTTGATAAAAAGTCCTCAAGTACCGTCAGGGTGGACAGACTTTGACTGGTGAAAACAGATTTTAAAAATGGGAAAGAATAATAAAGTGAACTAAMGCTAACAGGACAAACATGCAGTACACTACGTGTACTGTGCATCCACTCAATCAGAAATGTACAACGTGAGATTAACAAGACTTTACTTTGATTTTGAACTGAGAAAGGGAGCAATTGAACCTCTGCCAAATCAAACGGTGAAAATCTCTACCTCTCAGCCTCCATATTAAAAAAGTCAGAATTACTAATAAACTGCAGCCACGCTCTTTTACAAGTTGTTTTATAGTCACCTAATAATTGATTGAATTTGTATTGAACTTTACATTTTTCAATTTCAAAGTGCTACAAAAATAAAAACATAACAAAAAGCAAGAACTATGGTAACAGCAGTGCAAGTAAAAATGTTATATAGGTCTTAAGTCCTTTCTAAAACTCTCTGTAGTCTGGGGCATCCTCAGATGTTCCATAGACGAGGTGCAGCAGAGCAAAAGGCCCCGCCCCCCATGACGTGCAGTTTTGTCTCAGTCTGAGGAGGTAGGATATTGTAGAGAGGAGGGACAGTATTGATGTCTGAGCAGTGAGCAGTTCTTTGTAGTGTGGAGGATTGCTGTGGATGGATTATGCTACGTTCACACCAAACGCGTTTTGAGCGGCCAAAAAGCGCAAAACGTCTCTCACTGGACGCTTTATGTTCAGACCGAAGAACG